TTATTTTCATTACTGTTTCCACTTTCACTTTTTCTAATTTTCATTCCTATTTTCACTTTTTTATTTTCATTACCACTTCCACTTCCACTTTTTTTAATTTTTATTCCTACTTCCCTTTTCTAATTTTCATTCCCACTTCTACACCCATTTTTTCCACTTCTAATTTTCATTAGCTGTTGCCATTTCGACTAAAACTCTTTCTAATTTCCATTTACACAACCATTTCCACTTTTTTTAATTACCATGAATGGAAATTAGAAAAAGTGAACACATAAAATTAAAAGGTATTAAAATAAGCTGCAACGCTTATTATTTTAATCAAATTTTGCTTATTTTAATACCAAAATAGATTAAAATAAGCAAAATTGGATTAAAATAATAAGCATTGCAGCTTATTTTAATGCCTTTTAATTTTCTGTGAAAGTGATAATGGAAATTTAAAAAATTAGAATTAGAAGTGCGAGTGAGAATATATAAAAGTTGTAATGAAAATAAAAAAGTAAAAGATGAAATGGGAATTAAAATTGGAACAAGTGGAAGTAGAAGTGAAAGTGGAAATGAGAATTAGAAAAAGTGGAAGTCGAAGTGGTAATGTAAATAAAAAAGTGGAAGTGAAAATGGGCATGAAAATTATAAAAAGTGGAAGTGAAAATGGGAATGAGAATTAGAAAGAGTAGTAGTGAGAATGGAAGTGCGAATGAGAATTAGAAAAAGTATAAGTGGAAATGGGAATGAAAATTATAAAAAATTTAAGTGGAAGTGAAAGTGGTAATGGGAAAGTAGTGTCGAAGTTTCTGTGAAAATGTATTTTAGAAACTTTTAATTTTTTTTGTAGGTACTAACTTTAGTAACATTAGTAATGTTAGTAACATTAGTAACGTTAGTAACGTTAATTTTTTCACTTGGGATATTTTTCTCAGAGCCTATTAGCCCATTTATTGACGTAAATAAAATTCTTTATTTAAATCAAATAGAAATATATTTGAATGAAATAAATATTTATTTGGCTCTGAGACAAATATATCATTTCTCTGCGTGTAAAAATATGAAATAATTTTTGGTTTTTTCATTTTAATTTTCCTTTTTTTGAAACAATTTTCTTTTTCCTAAAAAAAATAGAAAAAAAACTGAATGGAGTGTTTTTTTTTTGTTTTCTATTTTTGGGTTAAATCATTGGATTATGGTGTCAGTATTATGAGTTATATTTGTTCAGCAAACTATCACAGCTTCTTTTGAGCAATATGGGGAGCAATCTCTGTTGCTTAATTAGCAATTAGTGATATTAAATCTTCGCAAAGAAACTTGGAAATTTCTCTTTCTCTCTGCCTCTTTCTTTCTCTCTCTCTCTCTCTCTTCTTCGATGTAATAAGAACATTTGTCTAAATTGCTTCATTAGTTTGTCTTTCAGATAATAACAAAAGAAAATTGAATTGCACATTTATTATTGAAACTAGCTCTGTAATTCATTTTATAAATTAAAATATATTTCAAGTAGAAATATTATTAATTTTTCCTCGCATTTAACACAAATATTGCTGTTAATTATTAATGTTTAAAGCAACTGCAATTTGTGATAATTTCACAATTAGTGTCAATTTGTTGGTTATAATTATTTTATATCAAGATTATAATTAGAAATAAAAATAAAAAAAGAATAGAATTCTTGAAAAATTTTAATTAAATTCTCTCGCGAGTATAATTAGAAAATTAAATATTTATCATTATTTAAATAATGCGATAAAATATTAGGAAAGGCGAGAATAATATTTTAAAAGCTGATTATTATTATTATTATTTGCATAAGCAGTAGTAAGTCAATAGCAAAAAAATATTTCAATAAGATAAAAAAAATTAAAATTTTCGTATTGCAGTAGAACAGGACATTTTTAGTCAGACACTACTTTCTTAAAAGTAAATTTTTTTTTTAGTAGTACAATATGGTTTTAATAAGGCAGAATGAATTTTTTTAATTGCTGTAACTAATTTCGGTAGTAAAAAAAGTTAAGTTACAAAAAATATTTAAAATTCTCGTATCGCAGTAGAAGAGGTCATTTTTAGTCAGACATTACATTTTTAATAGTAATTTCTAAAAAAAAAAAGTAGCTAATGAATATATTATAGTCAGAGAAAATGTTTCTTTTTTTTTAAATAAGAAGAGAGATAGATTATTGTAATTCATTTTTTAAATTAATTTTTAAAATCAATTTGTCGATTATACACAGAAAAAAGCTGGTGTTACTTTTGTTAATTTTCTCCAAAGCTAAAACCCATAAGATTTAACCCATATTTAGGGTAAAATTTGTTGCATGTTATTTTAACACCAATTCTGGTGTTAAACTAAACACTTTGTTTTTCCTGTGTAATTAATTTATATCAAGATTAACAAAAAAAAAAAAAAAAATAAGAATAAAATGCTTGAAAAATTTTAATTAAATTCTCTCGCAAGTTATAATTCGAAAAATAAATATTTCTCATTATTTAAATAATGCGCTAATATATTATAGGGAAAAGCGAGGAAAATAATAATTTTCTCAAAAGCGGATATATTTGTGCAGAATTTCAAAAGCAGATATAATTGTTGATCGAGAGTTGTGGAATTAGAGTATTTACTTTAATTAAAGCTCTATAGTTGAACGCGATGATTAAGAACATTTATAGCTTTAGTTGCTGGTAATTTTGAGAGTCTGAAGTGAGAGAGAGAGAGAGAGAGAACGAGAGACGGAAAAGATCCTCCTGTCAGATATGATTCTCTCTTTGGTGCACTGTTATCACTATTATTACCTTCTTATCACGCCTCAGCGTATTATAACCCTTCTCCGGAGGCTCTCTTATTGCCGTCTCTCGTATTGTCCTCTACTTGCTGAACTAAAGTTGTTTTAGTATATAATATAATTTATAAAATTTAATTCGCTTGGAAAACCTAATCCCATAACGAGTAATGCTCTGAAGAAAGAAAACAGACAATTTTAAACAATATAACTTTAGTTCCGTTTGTCATGATATAATATATATAAAAACACCTGCGGTTATATCTAATTTACAGTATTGAATAGTGTATTATTCGTTATTAAATAGAAATTCTCTCCCACATATATATATATATATATATATATATAAAGTATGTGTAGTAGCTTCCAAAGAGAAATATAATAGAAGCAAAGCTCTGAATGTATATAAATTCCATAACGCATTGAGCTCAGGGAATATCAAATACTTTGTACATGTACTGGTAAATTCTGATGGTAAATTCTCATTTAAATCCATACATATATATACACAATAATATTACATTTTCATTATAGTAAATTATTCAATTCTCGATGAACAAAACTTCAAATTATATACATATTTTATTAAATCTTATTTTTTACACATTTTGCAAATATTTTTTTTATTGAAAAGTAGGAAAAATTTATATTTAATTTCAATCTAAATATAAGTTTCGATAATTTTGTTTGGTTGTAATGCAGACTAAGCAAAAAAAAAACATATATATTTTTTTTTTCTCACAGACAAGTAAATAATTATTTCTTTCAGAGAAATTATATTTATGCTAAACAAAATTTTATCTATGCTAAATAATAATTTGGTTTAACTAAAACTGCATTGAATTAATAATAAATACAATTGATTTGTAAAAATGAAATGTCTGACTAAAAATGACTTGTTCTACTAAAAATGTATTTTGTAAGTATTTTTTTTTTTTGCTGACTAAAAGTATTTTCTACTATTTACCTTAGAAAAAAAAAATTTTTTTTTTTGGCTGACAGAAATATTCATTTACGACTTTTTTTAAAAAAATTACTATTAAAAATGTACTGTTTGACTAAAATTCTCTTCTTTTACTGCGATGTAATTTTTATTAGATTTTTTGTTATCTAAAATAGTGTCTTCACTACTTATCTTGTGAAAAATCATTTCTTATGTTTAGCTAAAATATTTCATTACTAGTGCTTAGAGAAATTACTATTGAAAATGTAATGTCTGACTAAAAATGACCTCTTCTACTGCGATACGAGAATTTTAAATATTTTTTGTAATTTAACTTTTTTTACTACCGAAATTACTTACAGCAAAGAAATATATTTATTCTGCCTTATTAAAACCATATTGTACTACTAAAAAAAAAAAAATTTACTGGTAAGAATGTAATGTCTGACTAAAAATGTCCTGTTCTACTGCAATACGAAAATTTTAATTTTATTATCTTACTGAAATGTTCCTTTGCTACTGAGTTTTTCTACAACAAACAAAATAAACACAATCTGTCTGACTAAAACTGTAATTTACTACTAATAATACAATTTAATCGGTAGAATAAACGTCTGACTAAAAATTACAATTTTTGTTATGTGTTTCGTCTGACTATAAACTGTCATCTACTGCTTAACTTATAAAAAATAATTTTTATTTGCTTCAAAAATAAATTTTATTTGTCTTAAATAAACGCCAATAGAACACTCAGAAAAAAATTTGTTTCAAATAAACAAATTTGTATCAACAAAATAGCATTCCTAATTAGTAATATTAATTATTAGTAGTAAGACTAAGTTTTGGTCATACACTTGTACTTTTTTATTATTATTATTATTATTATTATTATTATTATTATTATTATTATTATTGCAGTAGTACAACTTTATTTTAGTCAGACAAAAAGACATTTCTCCTGCAGTAGAAAATCAGTAGTGGAAGACTATTTTAGTCAGACGGGATCGATTAATTTTTTTTTCTAAAATTAGTATCAGTAGAAAAAGAAGTTTTTATTCAGGCAAAGGAGTAAAAATTTTGTATTATTAATTTCATTGATTATTGTCTAAAAAAATTTATAATTAACAAATTTTTTTTTTTTTTTTGGAAAGCAGAAATTTCTTTTTAGAAGAAATAAAATTTTTTTGATGTCAAAAATTTTGATTCGGCTTTATCAAGAAAAAAAAAAAAGAAATCATTTGCGAAGATTGAAATTGTTGATTGATCGCTTTCTTGATTTTTGTTCACAGATACCACAAGTCAGCTATGCATCAACGAGTACTGAACTCTCGGATAAGAGTCGTTTCGAGTATTTTAGCAGAGTCGTTCCTCCTGATAATTTTCAAGCTCAAGCAATCGTTGAGGTGGTGCACGAACTCGGCTGGAAGTACGTCTCTACTGTTGCAGTGGAGGGTGATTATGGGGAGAAGGTGAGTCTTGGAATGAGTAAGACGTCGTCCACAAATTACCTCACGTCTTTTGATAAAAAAAAAAAAAAAAAAAAATACTAAAAGAAACGACAAAAAAAAACAAATTATTTCTTATCTTTTCTTCAAAGTGTATAAAGAACTTCTTGGAAAACTTCAAAACACTTTGAAAATTAGTTCTAAAGATCCAATGAAAAAGAGTAAACGAATAAAATTATACTCTTATAAAGACTTTGATCAAGTATTTACCATATATATATATATATTAACCAATCAATATTTTCAATTATCATAAATTAATATCACTGCAAAAAAATTTATTTTGCGTCAAATAATCGCTTATCAAATAAATATTTATTTGTATCTCGTAAATTATTATTTGAGTGATATTTTTTCAAATACACAAATTATTAGTTTAATTATTTGGTTTCAAAAATTATTTGATAATTTATTTGCTAATTCTTAATATTTATTTCATAATAGTCAAGTAAACGATTATTTGAATCAAATAAATTTTTTTGCAGTGTATCATTAAATTAATGTTTAAAATCTATACTAAAATAATAATAATTCAAAAACACTTTTTAACTACCTATATAATTTTTTTCTTAATTCGATTTGGAATGATAAAAATTTTTCCTTTCATTTTAAAAAAGTTTTTTAATTTATATCTCGGATTATATTTTTTTTCAAGTTTTCGATCTCCCGATAATTGAAATATTAATTTCATAAAACTTTTTTTTTTTATATTTTCTTCTTACTTTTTACATTCGCAATTTTCTTATTGCTTTTTAGAACTTGAAGTATTGTTATAAAAAAAAAAAAAGAAAAAGAAGTAAATTGAGTTCTTGAATTTAATGATCCTAATAAAGTTTGTGATGTCATTTGTGGAGGACCGATGAAAAAAAAATTTTTTTTGTTCTACTATAATAATAATAATAATAATACAATAATTTTGAAATAATGACATTTTAATTAATCAGCCGATCAAGTTGGTTAAATAATTGTTATTGAAATGTGATTCATTTTTCTCGGTTTAATTTAATTTTCAATTTCCTTTCCTCTATTTCAATGATTTCGATTGCTATTGATTTCTCAGAAAGTAATTATAGACCGTTTGAACACGAGAATCCTAACTCCGTTAGTCGTCAACACTAAGGTATTAATCGATCAATTATGCTCGTTTGCTAATTTACTTAATTGAACGTCTGCGACAGATCGACTGCGTTTGATTCCTTAAGCACAAAATTTACAATTCGATTGGTATATAATGAATTTACAAAGTTCAATTACAAAATCCTTTAGGCATTTTTATTTTCTTCAAACTTTTATTAAAATGCAAATAATTATTTTAATTATTAATTTATTATTTTTAGTCTAATTTAATTTTATTTATTATTTTAATCAATTATATAATTATTGTAAAAATGTAAAATTTAAAAAAAAATGTTATATAGAAAAATTTTTTTAGTATTTTAATATAAAATAAAAATATAATATTTATTATAATTGAAAAGTTTATGTTTCATAAATAAATATTTTTTTTTTTAAGCAAAATTTAAAAAGCTAATAGACTTTAGTGATATGAAAAAAGAATCATGGGTAGTAAAAAGAGGAAAAAGAAAAGGAGTAATAAAATATGTAAGATGCAGTAACGGAAGTAATAAAAGCAGCATTACACAAATTTGAGTACAAATTTTCATAAATTCAGTTTATGATGATCACATAATTGAAAAAATAGTTCAGGAAAAAATGAAAAGAATTTTTTTACGAAATTATTTTTTACTCGAAACCGATAATTTATTTTAAAATTGAATAAAAATCATATTTGTCACTATTTATATTTGTTTCAAATAAAATTTCCATTTGGCATAAATTTCCATTTGTTTCGAATAAAATTTCCATTTGGCATAAATAGAATTTTTATTTCACATAAATAAAATTTTTATTTGGTTTTATTAAAATATTTGGTTTAATAAAAAAAAATTTTATTCATATACTAAATGAAAATTGGAAAGAAATATTTTTATTTTGTAACAAATATATGTAAACTTTCTTTTTTTTTTTGGTTTATAAAGTCTTTATTATTTTTTTTTTTTTTTGAATAAGGTGAAACATGAAATAAGTTTATAGTTTCTGATGCCACGTGTGTTTGCGGCCGAATTTATTGGTCGATAAGCATAGAAAAACGTAAATCCGTATGAACAATTGTTCCTCGTTTCTCATTTAGCGTACAAAAAAAGCCTTATCCATTTTGTGCCCGAGGCATTAAAAGCACTATAGTGCTTCTCTCATTGTTGCAGAAATATACTTCATGTGAGCTTTTCATAATAATCGAAATTATCTCGTAGATAAAGTTTTAAAACACATAAATAATGAAATCACTTTAAAAAAAAAAATAAATAAAAGAAACACTAATTCTCAACATAGAATTTTCGTATTTTCTCTTTCTCTCTGTTTTGATAAAAAATTCACAATTGTGTTCTTCATTTTATATCTCGTTTAAATCGTGTGCTCAAAATTAGTAATTATTCCATTAATTAATATATATATGAGGAAACCAATTTTTCCTCAAAAATATTTTTTCATATTTTATTTATTATTACACCCAAAAAAAAGTAATCTTATACTTAGAGGAAAATTCCTCTTCTAATATCCTCTAAATATTTCCTCTTAAAACAAGATTATTCAATTGAAATGTAGAATATTTTTATTCTTCATTTTAATGGAAGAATGACAAAAGGATTCCTTTTGTATTTTCCTCTTTAATTAAGATTTTCCGTTTTAAATTTAGAAGATTTAAAAAAAGGAAACGGAAAAAAATAATGTAATCGTTTGATCCCTTTCCCTGGGTATGATAGTTGTGAAGTTGTTTTTTAACCTTTCAGTTTTAATATTTCTGGTAAAATGTCAACAAAAAGGACAAAAAAATGGATTTGCTTTATTAAAAATACAGAAAATATAGTTAAATTCAAATTAAATGAATATTTTTAACGCTATTTTTAGATTTAAAAAAATTTGGATATTTCTTGTGAAATTTTACTACTCAGGTAAATAGAAATACTATAACCCCATTTTTGAATCTTTTGAATTTTTTAAATCTTTTTATTTACTTTTTTAAAAAAGTTTTAAAACGTTAAATAATTTCATATATGAAATTTTTTTCTGTCCTATAAAAAATGTTAACTTTTAAACATATCATCATGTTTTAAAATTATTTTTGCGCTGAAAATCTCGTTGATCATTACAACTGATTAATGAAAACTTATTTTTTGTATTTTAATTATCAATATAAAATGTTGATAATTAACCAAAAACATGACATTGTTAATGTTATATTAAAAAACAATTTTTATTATTATATTGAAATGAACTATTATAATTTTACTTAATTTTAATTTAAAAATGTATTTTCTGCAAAGATTTTATTATTTGATTGAAATTATAATTATTTTATTGATGGCTTTGACATTAAAAACAATTTTACGAGGTTTGGATGTCGACATTTAATTTAAGAGGAAAATCCTCTTAAATGAAGAATAATAATTTTGATACCAAAATTAAGAGGAAAATATGCATTTATTTTAGAGGAATCCTCTAGATTGAAAATTACTTTTTTTAGGGTGTATTTTTTTTATTACTTTGTAAATAATAAAACATTTCCTGCTCTCTATATAAAAAAGAAATAAATTAAATCTTTCTATATTCTTTACAATAGATAAATAATATATATTTTTCTTTCTATTCAAAAAGATAAATATTTTTATTCCTCTCTTGAGATATAATAAAACGTTTCTTTTAATTCCGTGTTTTTTCAAAAATGAAAAAGAAATTTTTTTTTTTTAAAAAAAGTGGATTTAAACGACGAAGATAAGAAACAAAAGAAAGCTTTTTAATGGTAAAAATTGTATAATTTGCCAGTTTATTAGTTTCTTATGTAATTAGAAAATGGTGAAATTTCCTCTGATAAAAAATAGAAGAGCATTAGATAGATATTTCATATTGAGAACAAGACTAATGAGTAAATTATTTAGTGGCGATTCGTTCCTATTTTTTTTTTTATTGTCAATAGAACTCAATGCTTGACCCACATTTTTCTTTGGTCTCTTGCTGATATACGACCTCCCGTTGAGAATTAGATGTCCCTCTGCGACCTTTGTATTGTCCCTTTTTCTTTTCTTTTTTTTTCTCACTGAGCACTCTATTCATCTATGAACAAAAATGGTCAAAAAAAAAAAAACATTGTGCTTTTTCAAGATTTTTAATAATTGTTTCACCGATTTTAATAATAAATATTTTTTTCCTAAAAAAAATGAATTTTTCGACTTTAAACAGTTTTTTTCTATCTTAATTAAAATTTATTATATTATCAAGAAAAAAAAGTAAAGTGTCAATTAAAATTGACTATCCAGGAAAAGAAAGTCTTTTTCTCTAACACGCACACACACACATATATGTGAATCTGTTTCATCGATCATTAGCAAACTGTTGTTGCAGATCGAATGCTCGAGGAAAAAGAGTTTTTGAAAATGGACTACACTTTTTTTTCTACCTCTTTTTTTTCCCCCATATATACATACATGACCATTATGTGGTGGTTCTATTGATTTTCCATCAAAGAATCGTATCTGCATTTTTGTCGCATGTAAAAGGCAAATAAGCCTAGTCACAATTATTTCTTTTTTTTTTTTTTTGTTCGTCAATTTTATTTCATTAAAAAGTGTTTTTTTAAAATGAAAAAAATTTTACCTGATTCAAATAATCGGTTACTTGATTATTAGTAAATAAATATTTATTTGTATTAAATAAATTATTATTTTTATAGTAAATAAATTATTTTTTTTATATTAAATAAATTATTATTTGTAATATAGAAATTATTATTTGTATTAAATAAATTATTATTTAAGTCAATTAAATCGTATTTGTTTCAAATACAGAAATTATATTGGTTCAAACAGATTTCATTTAATTTAATTATTTGGTTTCAAAAATTATTTGCTAAATATTTATTTGATAATACTAAAGTAAATGATTATTTGAATCAAATAATTTTTTACACAGTATTTTTGAACGATTTTTCTTATTTATTTTTTCTTTTTAAATAAGATTTATTTATAGGTACTTAAAGAAAACAATTTTTTTTTTTTTTTTTTTTTTTGAAAAAAAAGGAGAATAATTAATTTTGTAAGAAAATGTTTGTCGTAAATTAAGAGATCAATATAAATATATGTTTTTCAACATTTTCTTACAGTACTTTGAATTTGCATTTAAATGTAAAATGTACTTTTCTTTTCGATTGTAATTACTATTAGAAGTCTCTAGTTGGATTTAGATGTAAATTGTAAATTACCGTTTTCTGAAAAGGAGAAAAATAAATAAAATACCCCGGTCTAGTTTAGAATTAACGCGATTCATGGTACTTCAAATACGAATAAGTCTCGTAAATTCTTGTCAGACAGTGAAACGGTTGAAATAAAGTGTCAGACCATTGTATATAATTGGTCCAATTTCTTGGTATCTCAATTTTTTTTTTATTTTTCTTTTCTACTTTTTCATTCTTTTCACGGAATTTTATCATCATCCTCCTGTTAAATTACATCCGTTATATTTTTTGACCTATATATATATATATATATATATATATATATATAGAAGAAAAATATCCAATTACTGTTTGAAAAAAAAGTTTTTTTTAATTTTTTAATAACATTTTCTTGAATTAAATTTAAGTTTAAAAATTTAATAAAAGTAATTAAAAAATTTTGAATTTTTATTGTTTATAAGAAAAATTACACCAAATTCTTAGTGTAGGAGAATTTTTTTTTCTTTGTACTAAATTGAGTTTTTTTCTATTGCAATTTTTTTTTTAAAAAATTCTAATCTGGTGCAAATGTAATAGATATTACTTAAATATTTATATACTAGACTTCGAAGCTGGAGGCTCATAAATTCATTAATTAACACGTGACACTTTAAGTTCGTTAAAAAGCGATGATGAAGTAACGTACCCAATAATTGGCATCAAACTCAAAGCCAATTTTGTGTCGTGTCATCAGTTTCCCCTGATAATTTAGATTCACGAAATTGGAAGCGTGATTTTTTGTTGATAAAACGGAAAAGAAGAAACGGCTTTAGCAAAAATACGTTTTTATCTAGAATTTATATAACGTTGAAAAAAAAGAAACTTACAGAGTATTTTTATTTCATATTTTCAAATTTTTCAAATTTTGTTTAAAAAAAAAAATTTTTTTTAATGAATTTAATTTGATAATAAAATTTTTGAATTTTCTTTTTTCCTTACTAAACTTTGAAAATGATGATTGATAATTACCTGCTTTTATAATTAAAAAAAAAATATATTCACCAAGGGAAAATTCGTCTAAAATTCTGACAATGATGAATCTAAAATTAAAAGTGGACTTTAGAGACTGTAACTATAAGTCCATTTTATCTCACAATTTAGATTGCGGTCGTAAATTACTTTCACGATACTACTTTACTTTGGTCTTGTGAAAAATTCAAAAGGGTACTTCATGTAAAATAGAAAAGTCATGGAAAACTGACAAAAGAGAGAGAGAATAAAGAAATAAAGACTAAATATAATAAAATTTATATATATATATATAAATTTAATTTTATTAGAATATTTATTTGAAACACTATTGGAATTGCGAATAAATTTATTTATCAATTTATATAATTTATCAAAAATAATCACACTGAAAAAAAATTCTAATCGGTTACTTAATAATTTATTATTAAATATTTACTTGAACCAACTAATTTTTGAAACTAAATAATTGAATTATAAACTGTATTTGAAATAAATAACAATTAATATTTAATAAATATTTATTTGATAATTGACAAGTAATTGATTAATTCAATCAAATAAATTTCCTTCAGTTTATTTTTTTTTTCATTTTATTAATTGGAAATAAAAGAAATTTAAAAAAATTTGTTCCCCCAAAAAGGTTTTGATAAAAAATATATATTTTTATTGCTTTGACAGTTAAAGATGATATTATATATTGTCACTGTAACGATGAAAAATGTGACAATACTGATAATTCGAATTTTTTTCCTATTTTTTTTCTTTTTTTTTTTATCTCGAAAACAAATTAATTTATGATGATCTCTCTCTCTCATGTTTTATAACCATTTTCAGGGTATTGCCAGCTTTATCGCCCTTGCAGCCATATATAATATTTGTGTAGCGGTCAGTGAGAAGATCCTGAGAAACGCAAAGACCGAAGATTTTGAGAGGATTGTGGATCGGCTCAGCTCTAAACCCAATGCTCGTGCTGTTGTTCTTTTTGTCGATGAAGATAATATAAGGTAAGGTAACATGAATCCTGATTATAGAATATAGAATTTCCATTTTCTCTCTCTCTCTCTCTAATTATTCTTCCATTGTTCCCTCTTAGAATTAATTAAGCATTTTTTTTTTTAATAGATATTAATTAGAAGGAGAGAAAATGTTCAAAATGAACCTTATTTTTAACAGCTTAATTAATATTAATTAAGTTCCTCATTATAATTATACAAAAAGTGTTAATTATTTTATAATTAACCGTTTAATTATACGCTAAAAAAAAAAAATTATTTTATTCAAATAGAGAAATTATTTTTATTCAAATACACAGTTTATTTGATTCGATTTAGTTGATTTATTTGATATAAAAATTTATTTGTATCAAATAAATTTACGAGGCTCATAAATTTACCATAAAAAAAATAATTAGTAAAAATTTTTATTTTCAACGACTTTTATTAGATAAAATTATTTTTTTAGATGAATTTTCAATTTTTCGAATTAGCATTTGATAAAAAAATTTTTTTTTTTGTTTTTAAACGAATTTTTACTCAACCAAATTTTTAGATACCGAATTTTTGGTTTTACAACAGTTTTATTTTACAGAATTTTTCTTTACCAACTTTTTATTTTAAAAAAAATTCCAAATTTCATCGAATATTAATTTATCAAAATTTTAATTGAACAGAATTTTAAGTGATTCGAATTTTTAAATACCATAATTTTCAATTAACCAAATCCGAATTTTTATTTGCACTAATTGATATTTGATAGAATTCTTAAAATTGCCAATGGTTATAGAATAAACAATTCAAAGAAATACTTCGCTTCGGCGCAAAAAAATCACAAATTTTCTTAATAATATTTCTGATTGGTTAATTTTAAAATTCGCGCCAATATCTTACTGTCGATTGTTTTTCGATCTTTGGCAATTTCGGACAAATGGAAATTCGGTATTTTAAGAATTCTATAAAAAAAATATAAATTCGAATAAATAAAAATTTGGAGAAATAAAAATTTGGACAAATAAAAATTCGGACGAATGAAGATTCGGGGAATTGAAAATTCTGGAATTTAAAAATTCGAATTATTTAAAATTTTGTTCAATGAAAATTTTGCAAAATTAATATTCGGTTATAAATTATAATTTTATTTTAATAAAAAGTTGGTAAAGAGAAATTCTATAAAATAAAAATTTGGTACATACAAATTTTGTTAAGTAAAAATTCGTTTAAAAAAAATGCTAATTTGAAAAATGAAAATTTGTATAAAAAATAATTATATCTAATATTTTAACATTTAATTAAATATCTATTTATTTGATAATAATTAAGTAACCGATTATTTGTATCAAATACATTTTTTTTTTTTTGTATCTAAAAAAAAGTAAATAAGAAAAATAATTTCTGAATTATTTTTCACGTTTCGTTTGATGTTTACAAATTCTTTTTACTTTCACTTACTGGGATGTGTGAAATTTAAGAAAAACGCAAATTTTTTTCTATTTACGACCACGCAAGTATAGTTAATTTATAAAAAAAAAAAAAAAAAAAAAAAGTGAAAGGTTTTTGGTTTGAAAGTCGAGTAAAGTGCATTATGTAAAGTGTAATTGTGAACCTTTTTGTTCGCGAGAGTCATAAAGAGAAGTTTATAAACAGCTTTAGTTAGGCGTGTCGAGTAAAGTTTCCATTGCAAAAAGAGTTCGTGCAACCTTTTAGTATACGTCCTTTTTTCCGCAGCATATTTTAGGTCGTTCGTGTACACGTCTTTATATAAGCGTCCTAGATGCTGTATAATGAAGAAAAGGTAATCTTGACCAGGCAGTAGGTAACTACTATTTTTTCCGGTAACGCATGTTTTTTTCTTTTTTGAAAAAAAAAATTTTTTTTTTATTTTCCCCTGTATTATAATTATAATAATAGTATTTATAATTTATAGTTAATTTTCTTTTTCAATTATTTCACCAAATTAATAATTTTTTAATTCAATTTCTTTAATAATAATTTAATTTATTTTTTTTGAAATTGAAAACTTCAGGACTCTCTAAATCTAAATTAGTAAAAATTTTAACTAATTTGAAATTATTGGTGACTCATTTTTTGTTTTTTTGAATTTTAAAATACACAGAGAAAATAAATATTCGTCACAGAAGCAAATAAATTTTGTTTGTTAAAAATAAATTTTTTTTTTTATTTTCGTGAGAAAATTGAAACAAATAAAAAGTTTATTTGGTTCTGTGACAAAAATATATTTTTTTGTTAATGCACATAAAAGTTATTTGCCTCGAACAAATGCAAATAAACGATTTCTTTGGGTGTGGTAAAAAAAAATTGTTTTACTATCGAATTAGTAAAATTTAACTAATTCAAAAAAGCGAAAAGTGAATTACGTTAATTGAAATTAATTAAAAATTTTACTAATTTACATTTAGAGAGTACTTATTTATTGTGATTTAATTGAAAATAATAAAACTAAATCATAAAATAGAAATAGTTAAATTAATTTAAGAAAATAGTTTAAAAAAATAGAAAATCTATTTTTTCGCAGTTTTATTATTGAAATTATAGCATTTTAATTTCTCATTGCACGTAGTTTCGCTATTGTTGTGTATAGATTCCAGGGATATCTTGTAAGCCCACTGAACAATATAGCAAAGGTCATAAACTCAAGAACTTTGAACACTATGCCACTTAACAACCATAACTTGTCACATAAACCATTGCTACTATTGCATTGATTGACAATAAGATTAAATTTATATATATATATATATATATATATTTCTCCTTGAATAATAGTCGCAAGAATTCCCTTTATATTTAACGTATAAGCCACTGGGGAAAGATTATAAAACTCTTTTCTATATATACGATATTATACTCAAATGCAATATATATATATCTTGATTTTCATCACGTACACATTTTTATACTCATTGTTTTACTATCGAAAAACTTCACGTACATTTCTTAGATATCTCTCTATTTCTCTTTTTCTCTCTTTCTCTTTCTCTCTTTGTCTTATTGCAGGTCACTTTTTACAATGTCAATATTTATTTATACGATTCGTTATATCTTCGAGAAAATAGAAACGATAAAAAAATTTCTCTTATATAATAGTAATATAAAGAAAAAGAAATAATGATAGAATTGATAAATAAATAATAAAATTATTAATATTAAAATTAATAATATTAAGAAATAAATAAATAAATATTTTCAGTGTGAAAATTTAATTTATAAATAAGAGGAAGTGTAAAATGAAAATATAATAACAAAAGAGGCTTTAAATGTAAATTTTGTGGAATATACGAGCGAGGATTTTGTTATCTTAGTAAATCTAATTTGACTAATCATGTAGATATTAAAGAGCTTGTGCTAATAGAATTACAAGGCTTTATTCATTTGCCTTCGTCAGTTTCGGACATGGTAAAAGAACATATTTGCAGTCATGATTCACGTCAAGTAACGCGGTAAACTTCAAACAAGAAACTGTTTCACACTCACGTAATGAAGTTACGCTTAGTATTTCATTAAACCAAAAATATCATTTTCACATACTGTAATTAATTTTCCCTTTTTTTTTTTTTGCTGTACAACTCAATTGTTCTTTTATAAATAATAATAATTAAATTTCCTTGAATTCGAAATAAAAATTAATGTAATAAATTTTTAATTGTATTAATTTTCCCTTTCTTTTTATACAATTCAATTGTTTTTAATTATAAATAATAATAATTTAGTTTTCTTGAATTTGAAATAAAAATTGTAATAAATTTTCTACTCAAATCTAGCATAAAGAATAAATAAAAATAAATAATGTTTTTGATAATAGAAAGAGAGAGTTTATAAAAAGCATAGAGAAAAGAAATTAGTTTAATCGAGTCCAGTTGAAAAATGAATCGTTGATTACATTTCGTCTTGGAAAGAAAGAGAAAGAGAGAAAGAAAGAAAGAAAATTGAATTTCTCAACGTGCGGTTAAAAATGTGCATAATCATTTTCTCAGAGAAGTTTTTCTCACTTATCTTGAACGTTTTACGGTTTTTATACTTGAAAATGCAAGTCCATTGTTTGTATATATAGGTGTGAACCTGAATTAGCCTTCCGATTTATATAAAATTCTCATGCGAAAAATCTAATTAACTCATAATTAATCAAAATTATCACATTACCGATTCTTTTTTTTATTAAAAATTAGATTTTTATCAAATCTCCAAATTTTATAATTATACAAAAATTATAATTATTTAAATAATTCCATAATTTTCTATTGTTGAAAATTAAAAAAAAAATTTTATTATTTTTTTAACATTATTATTTATTTATTTACACATTTTATTCTAATAATTTTTATTTCGAATTCAAGAAAATTAAATTATTATTATTATTATTTATCACGGAAAAAAAATCTTCATCTAGATTAGCCGTAAGTTTCACTGGAACAGCTATATGCTTCACTTAAACAGCGAAAGTTTTCGTTATTCTAGAGAAACATATTGCATAAAGATTTTTTTCCGTGTATAATTAAAAACAATTGAGTTGTACAAAAAAAGGAAAATAACAAAAATTTTGTTTATATATAATATTATTTATATTAATAATAATAATAATATAATTTTTCAATAATATTTTTTTTTTTTTGTTTTATTTTTTTAAGAACTCGATGGAAGCTATAGGCTAGAAAAGAGATAATATCGAACGATATATTTTCGAAATCTCGTGAAGGAGAATCGAAAAAGAAGTTAAAAAGGAAAAAAAAAAAGAAAAAAGAGAGAAAGTTGATAGCAGTAAATAAAGAGGGAGTAACTGAATGAGCTTTTCCTAGTATTGTCTTCATTACAAAGGGTCCATTGACCATCTAGCTTCACCTACTGGCAGATATTAGCTTCTAGCTTCCACGAAACTTGGGTAATAATTTTCGAGTATTTTACTGCACGTCTTCCGGACAAGTTGGAATCCATTCAGGGCCATCAAAATGGCTCGGTATCTAAAGATAAGAGACTAATTTAAATTTACTTAAAAG